GATTGCTCTGCTAAAGCAAGTTGGCCTGCTGTATAGGCGTCTCTAATAAGGTGGCGCTCTTTCGGGTGTGCTAGTGGGGCTACATAGAAAGACACAGACTCACCAGCAAGATGGGCGACGTCTTGGCGGATGGTGCGGAGAGTGAGGGTCTCTGCTTTACCTTTGAGGCCTAGACGTTGGGCAGCCGCTGGTAGTATTATTGTTCGTTCGGCTCCATCATCCAGAATGGCGTAGGTCTTCAGTGACTTGTGGCCGTAACTTATTATGATGGGCACCACCTTGAGGTATACCTTTCCTCCTTGCTTAGAGTTGCTGAGGGTGGCTTGGTCACGTGGAGTGATGAGGTAGACACGTGAGTCTGACTCAGCAACGTTGTGTAGAACTCTCAGATGAATTTCTTGACAGTCGCTGCATGGTTTCTTTAAGGTGCATGCTTCGGGCTGGTGGCTTGTCCGACCACAATTACGACAGCGCTTATTACGTTCGAGCCATTTCCTGACTTCATCTGGTGACCGCTGAACGATATCAGTGCACTGTGACAGATAGTGCTCTGTGCTCTTACAGAAGAGACATAACTTCTTGGACCTTTGTGATTTGGGATCAGAGCGGGCTGTCTTGCAGGATGACTGTTATCAGCTTTGGGTTTGTCGGAGCCATGATAAACAGACACAGACTGCACTCGGGGCTTGGAAGCTGGAGCGTGTCTGTCTCTCCTGGAGACATGGGACTCTTCAGAACGATGGCGCTGTGCCATTCTTGCAGATAGTCTTTGAGCTTCTGCCTTAACTTTGAGCCAATTGGCGAGGTCTCTGAGGTTGTAGGGGTTGAGTCGACTTGTGTTGAGACGACCTTGTGTTTGGAGGTGCTCTACAAAACTGTCTCTCATATGCTTGGGCAGCTTACTAAGCAGTCTGTCGACATGGCCAGTTGACATCAGTTCTGTCCCATTGGGCCCTTCTAGTGAAGTGAGCATTCCTACTAGCAAGTCAACACTGAGGGCGAAACTCTGGAAGCCTTTTGTGTCTCCCGATCTAACTTCAGGGGCATTTAAGATTGCAGCAATCTCACTTTGTGCGAGCTGATGTGGTTGTCCATACTGGCGCTGTAATGCTTCCATTGCAGCCAAGTAGGGTTGGGTATAATGTCTGCAGGACTGAGCAATTAGCTTGGCTTCATCCAGGACTAAGTGCTCCATGAGTACCCGGTACTTGTAGTGCTCTGACAGCTCTGTGTGGGGCCAAGCAGGTGGTCTAGCGCCATCTTGAGGTCAGTGAATTCTCTCTCACTGTCATGCACCAGCTTGGGCAGTTCAGGTACAGGAACAGGCTGCTTCGGCATCTGGAAACTGTATGGAGACTGCAGCATGGCGTACTGCGGCAAGGAAGTATTGTATACCTGATTAGAATGACCTGGCATTATGGGCACTGGCTGGTAGACAGGCTGCACTGCGGACGGAGGCTGAGGCTGGAGAACAGGTTGTATAGGCAGACCTGGCTGATAGCTCTGTGACTGGATCATGGGCTGCGCCGTAATGGCTGATGGAAGCTGGTACACAGTGTGTGCAGTAATAGCTGGTGGAGGCTGGTACGCAGGGTGTGGAACTGCAGCAGGAGTGTATGACAACTGGCCGTAATGTGCAACGTTACTTGACAGAGTGGTGGGTTGAAGCACAGGGAGCAGTGCTGGTGAAGCCAGGGGCTGGCATGCTGGATAGGTTGGAGTTGCAGAACAGGGCTGGTATTGGACTGGCATATGTGTAGATGGGCTACTATGCTGGACACTTGCAGCCGTAGTCACAGGATGCATTATTTGATAGGCTGGTTGGTATGGCGTAGATGCTGTTGGCTGTAACATGCTTGTTATTGTGGGGAGTGGTTGCTTGGGGGCTGGTGCAAACTGATGCAGAGGTTAATGTCACTGGAAGGGATCGGGTTAGAATGTCACTTTGGCCATGGCTTTGGCTTGAGGTAGTGGATGTTATAACTTGGGACAGTAATACTGTACTTGCGGCACTGGCAGTAAATGCAGCTGCTTGTGTGTTTCGCCAAGTTGTAACATCTGGCAGGAAGCTTGGGCTAACTGATCGCTGTGATGCGGGAGAACATGGCTCACTGAGGCCGTACTCTGTGAGGGGATGGCTGCGCAGGCTGCATTCACTTAGGGCAGGAGATGGTGGCCTCTCCCACACCATTGGTAAGCTAGGATATGTAGTAGCTTGTGGTGTTGCGTTCCACTGGCTCACCTTATCGACTACTGCTGCAGGGGGATGACAGGGTGGGTGTCCGAGTGCTTGAAGTAGCTGGCCATCATGAGAAACAGACCCGGTCTGCAAGCTGAGTGACTGCAGCTGCTGTGCACTGGCACCTAAGTCTCCATCCGGATGAGCAGCAGTATAAGGCATGAGGGACTGAGGGAGGCTGACCTGGTAGCCCTGGAGATAAGCTGGTAGCTGCCGTGGCCGTCCTGTCGCTTCACTTGCGATAGTTGATGTTCTCGTTATGTCCATTTTGCTGATATGGGTGAAGCAATCCGGCTCGAAGGACCAGTGTTGTTGAGAGCTATGACTGTATGTTGCTCTAGGGGGATTCGCTGGAACACCTCATCCACACAGACACTCCGATTAGAGAGCGAGGCCGGACACAGTAGGACTGTTAACTCTGCTTTACTGATGAAGCACAACTCCAAATGAAATACAGCTCTGTGTTCCTGGTTTGCTGTTTACAGTTTGATTCATTAGAATTTATCTCTATTATCTGTTCTGTCTGAGACTTCACATTGGACTGATTGACTCTCTTTCTGTACTGGTATCTGCAATAAACAAAACATAATATACATGAGAATACTAGTTCAAAGAGCACGTTAGCTCGAACTTAGCTTTAGCTTATTACCAAATCAGCCAGCACGTTAAACATCACATAAACACTGCTACGTTAGTAACGTTATGTTACATTAGCGGCGAAAATCACCGTTTCATTTGCATATCAACGGAACTAATTAGCAATCATTAGCAGATCGTTGCCACCCACCTTCATCACAAACGCAGACAGGTATTGACGTAAAATAAACAAGAATGCCGTGAACGGCTGAATATTATAAGGACCCCCTTAGCTGCCTAACGAGGTTCCTGATGCAAAACACTAAATTCAGCACTGAACAAATCCTGCACCACAAACAGTAATAATAGGGAATTTACAACAAGCACATTTATATATTTAAATAGATATGTGTCCAACACTGAATTTGTTATGATACCTCCTCTTTCTGCTGACAAATGAGTAGTAGTTTTGGCAATAGAAGTTAAATATCCCCATTGACCAAAAAGTAAACATCCATATTGACCGACCTGTACCTGCATGAACTGGTTTGGTCCTGCCTTATCAGTGACGGTGTTTAGATACAGTGATCACAATGTTGCCTAGTAAACCAAAATCTGGTTTTCAAAAAAGGAAAGAGAGAAAAGAGAGAGAGGAAAGACAAAGTAAAGGATGTCAATCTGTAACCCCAGTTTTTCACCAAGAAGGGCGGCCTTTAGTCTGTGAGTGGTGTTAACCTGTTTGCTTAACATCCACAGTGAAATAAGCTAGCTAGCTACAGACTAGTGTTGGCCTACATTTCATCAACATTTAATCAGTACAGGGAAACGTTTAGCAAGAAATTCATATAATTATTAATAATTGTCCCTGCCCCTTTTAGCAGACTAACAACAGATGAGTCAGCAGCACCCCAGTCTCCCCATAACTGTAGCCTCCCTGTCCCAGTGAAGAAGGTGAGCAGCACTGTGTTAATGACGTTCCAGTTAGCATCATTCCAGGCAGTCTGTGGGGATTGTTCATTTAATCATAACAAAAAAGAAAGTGAAATGTTTATTAATGACAGAATTTTGTTTTTACATAATGATCATTATGAAATAAAATAAAAACAGCCTCCTGTCTGTACTGGATGCTGGACAGTTGGAAACAGCGAGTAGATTACCTCAGCCTGCATGTAATTTACAGAAAATATTAAAATAATCCAGTTTGAAGTTCATTTAGATTGAATTATGGCCGTTAAATGACTTCTATAGATAGTTACTTTTTCTATAAAATACATAGAGACTGTAAAAGATTGCCTTAAGGACATTTTTATGGTGGCTTACTTGCATGTACAAATCACCAGCAGTAAATATCTTGCTAGTACTAATATTGAACTACAAGAAGCAAGACAGTTGCAAGCCTTTAATTACAGTTATGTAAAGCTTTTGATGGGACAGTTAGATCCTAGAGATGTAGTGACAACAGCTGCGCAGAGGGGGCCCAATTAGATTTATTGTCATGGGGCCCAAAGTTGCTGGCGGCGCCACTGCAAAGTCATCCTCTACATCGCACTTCTGATATCAATGGCGCAAATCAGAGTTTGCAGGTTGAGTTACGTAAGTTTAAAAGGATTCACTGAATATGTTGCCTGGGGAAGTTATGTGATGATAGTTGTCTCACTCTCAAACGTTGAGGTTGTGCTAAACATAGTTTTACAAATGAGAGGCCAAGTCTTGAAGAAACAAGATTTTGATCAATAAATGTTTCATGAAATATATGTGTTCCTTACCTTGTATCTTTGGGTACTTGGCCATGAGCAGTAAGCCAAATCTAATAGTAGAGGACGTAGAGTTGGTGATCTGTCTTGATACTAAAGACCAAATTATACTTCTGCGTTGAATCTATGCCATAGTTACACCATAGCTAAGCATAGCTGTGTACCCTACTCCATACCCTACTCTGTAGCCTGAGGCGCACCTTTCCAGCATCACATTTCCTCCAATCCATTTCTGGCTTCTCCTCACTCAACCAGTTAACGGTTGTCCATACTATCTCGTCCGATGCCTTTTTCTTGTTTCTGTGGTTAAGTAATTTCACTGCTGTTCAACATCGATCAGCTCAATTTCACTCACAACTGTTTGTAGTAGCCTGCACCAACAACAACAGAGGCTAAACTCAAAACAGAAGTGAAGAAACTCATGAAACTGATACTTTAAACAAGTTTTTTATTTTGTATTATTTCATTACACTGAATAAACAATGAATCCTTTTTCACCAATCTCCTCTCTTTGGTAGGTGTGAAGCAGATCTAATGAAACTGTCAATCACAATTAAACAATTCAAAAGCAAGATGAGTAAACAGCAATGTGAGTAAATCAATCATGAACAGCAAGAATGTTCAGTCTTTAAAAGGAGGAAAGCCTCTCACTGACCATATAGTCATACCATTAGAATGTAACTGATAGCCACAGATATTTCTTCAAATTGTTAACGGTTGCTCTACACAACAATCTCACCATGGATGATTGAATGACAAAATGTCCAGGCACGGTAGCAGTTTCCATTCCCACCGTGACATAATGATCAAGATGTTCCAGCTCTCTTCTTCATTGGCGACTGACAGCACACAGCTTATGAGCTGATGGGGTGAGGGTCAAGCCCACAACTGGTGTCAGATCCAGTTTGTCCTCTGTGACTCCAGGTGGAGGAGTGAAACGAAAGCGCTGCAGGAGGGAGGTGAACAAGAGGAAGAGCTCCATCTTAGCCAGACTTTCTCCGAGACACACCCTGCGACCTGCAAGAATGAAGAGATTTGCAAAGAGCATGATGCTGCGTAAAATGTCTTTGTAATCCCTAAACAACAAGAACGCAGAAAAGTTGTTGTACCTGCAGAAAAGGGCATGAAGGCGTCTCTCCTGACAAATTTACCCTCCTCATCCAGGAAGTGGGAAGGGTTGAAAGTGTGTGGGCTCTCCCATTCACTCTCATCATACAGAACAGAAGTAAGCAGAGGAAACACAGTAGTCCCCTGTAGACAAAAGAAGGGAGCACTTTAAATGACATTACACCTAGCTGACGCTTTCATCCAAAGCGACTTACAATTGGAATTACACTCACCGGCCACATTGTTATGTACACCTGTTCACTTGCTAATCAGCCAATTACATGGCAGAAATTCAATGCATTTAGGCATGTAGACATGGTCAAGACAACTTGCTGAAGTTCAAACCGAGCATCAGAATGGGGAAGAAAGTGGATTTAAGTGACTTTGAACGTGGCATGGTTGGTGGTGCCATGTGGGCTGGTCTGAGTATTTCAGAAACTGCTGATTTACTGGGAATTTCACACATAACCACCTCCATAAGAGAAAATACCTAGTGAGCGGCAGTTGTGTGGACAAAAATGCCTTGTTGATGTCAGAGAGGAATGGGCAGACTGGTTCGAGATAACAGAAAGGCAACAGTAACTCAAATAACCACTCGTTACAACCGAGGTATGCAGAATACCATCTCTGAACCCACAACATGTCTAGCCTTGAAGCAGATGGGCTACAGCAGCAGAAGACCACACTGCAGCAGAAGGTGCCAGCTAAGAACAGGAAACTGAGTATACCCATCTTCTGATGGCTACTTTCTAGCAGGATAATGCACCATGTAAAAAAGCTCAAATCATCTCAAACTAGTTCACTGTACTCCAATGGCCTCCACAGTCACCAGATCTCAACCTAATAGAGCACCTTTGGGATGTGGTGGAACAGGAGATTTGACAAATCTGCAGCAACTGTGTGATGCTGTCATGTCAATATGGACCAAAGTCTCTGAGGAATGTTTCCAACACCTTGTTCACCTTGAAGAATTAAGGCAGTTCTGAAGGCAAAAGGGGGTCCAACCCGGTACTAGCAAGGTGTACCTAATTAAGTAGCCAGTGAGTGTATTTCAGAGGTTGCTCGGGAGTAACGGTCTTGTTCAGGGACACATGGATGGATGTGTCACAGTGGGAATCGAACCCCGGTCTCCCACACCAAAGGCATGTGTCATATCCACATATTCTGTTCCATCATCACTTCACAGCAGTAGAATGAAAGAACATTTCAAAGTTCTTTCCTGTAAAAATATATTTTGTGATATATATTTCAGATGCGAGCACCTGACCTTTTTGATAAAGTAGCCCTGGAAGGTGACATCACAGCTGGTTTTGTGTGGAAGAGCCATGGGGACAATGTTAGCCAGTCTCTGTGTCTCATGGATAACAGCATCAGTGTACGGCAGGTTTTTCCGGTCATCTACCCGGACCTGACGGCTTCCTACCACCCTGCCCAGCTCCTCCTGGACCTGGTCTGAACACACAAAATAATACATTAATGTTCCTTGACAGCATTAATGAGTCTACAGCCATGCTAACAGCTCACAGTATCCTTTTACATTCTTAAACATAAATGCACACATTAGGAGGAAATATTCACAAGCCTCATCTCTCCCTTTACCTTGCATATGTGGATATTTGGCCATAAGCACCAGACCCCATCTCAGTGTAGCTGCTGTGGTATCAGTACCAGCTGCAAACAGATTGGTCACTGTATATATCAAGTTCTTCTCATTGAAGTGAGTGTCCTTAACAAAAGAATCCTAACAGAAAGAACATTCACGTATTATAAAACAGATGTATGCAACATTGCTGTTCTTTTTTTAACATGAAAAACACAAAACATGTTGTCTTACATCATCTTTCTGTTTCCGAATAAGAAAACAGTCCACAAGCCCTCTGCAAATTTGAGGGTTCAACGTTTCTTTTAAATGCTTGATTAAATCTTTGACATCTCTGACAGTCATCTCTGCATTTTCTTTTATCAGCTGCCGATTTTTGATCCAACCAAACAACCTGGGAAACATGTTGTAAAGCTGTGACACAACAGTAAAAACAACAGAGATTATTAAAGACAATGTAGATTAAAACAACCCAAGTAGTTAGACTTCATAAATTAAAAAGGAAACATGAAGCTCACCTGGATTGGTGCAGATCCAGAAATACGGATGTTCTCGTTGGCTCTTCTCACCAAGTTTTTGAATCGGGGGTCATTGTATTCAAATCTTCTTCCATACACGATTGAAGAGATGATATTGGATGTTGCATAATTTACTGGACTTGTTGTATCAAATGGTTTCTCTGTAAAATGGCAGCCAGAAAGAATTTAATTATTAAGACTGTCACAATTCCCAATGCATCAGGCCCCTTCCTTGCCATTTTCCACTCATCCACTAGATGCCCTCTAACTTTCCCTCCTTTCACCATTACCTGACTGCCCCACCCATCTGCACACCAGAGGCGAGTTCCTTCTCAAAACGTTTAGCGCCGGTTTGCCTATATCAAATGAGCAGTGGACATTAATATGAAATATATTTTACACACACACTAATATATATATATATATGCTGACCCCCAATTGTCGAACGTTCGATACTAGTGAAATAAGGATCATCCCATTTTGGCGATATGGGGGTGCTGATTTTACATAGATCCACCAGTTTTCTCCCAATAAGGTAATAAACATGTAAAAAGAAAAAAGAAAAAAAGAAAAAGAAAAAACTTTCAATAAAAGTGCTTCAATAGGTGTGTGTGTGTGGAGCAGAGGCCCAGCTTCACCGTTCTTGTGCTGAGTTGTCCGCACCTCGCGGGACTTTCGGATAATTTATCACCGTTGATGAACCACACAACGAATATTATCGTTTTTAAATAGCCAGCTACTTGATGTGATTACTAGATGACTGGGCACATTGTAGAGCTTTGAAATTTTAAAGAGGTTGTATTGTGCTCATTTTCAGGTCCAAAAAATCTTAATTAGGGGTTGTACTAGAACAGGTTTATATGGTTTAACTTTCAAAAAACACCATATTTTTCTCATAAACCACATTGCTTCAGCTCCTCTTTTCACCCTATGTGTTGTACACTCCGCTCTTGAGCTACAGAGTGATGCATCTTACTTGTACAAAATCTTTGTTGGGAGTTTCACATGCGCAGTTCCCAGGTAAGGACTACTAGCCAATCAGCCAAGCAGAGAAGGGCGGGTCGTAAGTAACAAGGTAGTGTGATCCAAATCAAAGCCTTCAGACTGCGACCGTAACCTAGCAGATGGTATAAGTTACTCAAGTCCACAACCACACGACATCATTGTTCCACATCTTACCATTAGGACTAAATGTTGAACTGTTGCCGGTGTTCTGATGATCTATGCTGCCTTGCCGAAAAATGCTACCATAGTGCAAATTGATAGACTCGACTCTACTCAACCCTGCTCCGTTTTCCATTGCAGATAGTACCCAGAGATAGTACGTAGCTTGTCATCATAGCGACACCACATACATCTGCTGCGACGTAATGTTCAATGCGACACACAGACCAGTGACTCACACAGCTCTTAAAATATTTAGACTATGGTTAAAACCTTTCAATATTACTCAGAATGTAAAGACAGATATGCGGTATGAAAACCTTCCAGCTGTGTTTTCCTCTGCCGTTGTTGCTGCAGTGGTCTGTGTGACGGCGGGAGCAGAGGGTCTCTGTGAGCGGGAGGCTGGCCGATGATGCAGTGAATAGTGAATATTCTCTCAGACCAATCAGCAGTCTGTCGTGTATTCACATTACAATTAAGTATCCTTCAGCTCGCTTGGAACCTGGAAGGAGGTGAGGTGATAGGAAAAAAAGTACCTGGAAGCAGGTACAGGTGCAACATTTCTACAATGGAAAACCAAACAAAGGCGAGTCGAGCCAAAGGGCCTCCGCTCAGACTAGAATTGTATTTAGGTCTGACAGGTTCCCGTAACGAAGGATAGACTATATTCCCATCATTTTGGGCCAAATCAAAGTGAAATAGTCAATTTAAATTCATAACTCTGAACGTAACCTCACCTGGAACAGGTAAACCTTTTATGGCATAAAACTCTTTTATACCATAAATCTTCGCTTTGAAGTAAACCCTTCTCTAAGCCTCTGCCCTTATTTTGTAAATAAATCATTGCATCAGTTCCTTCCTTTGCCTTCATTTGGGTTTTTCCCATTGTGACAAAGACAGAAGTAGGAACATGAAAAGTATTTACTTTTAAAACAAACCTCACCAGTAATTACAGTGGCTACAAATTTTTTTTTAAATGGATGATTTATGATTATAATTTTCTGTGGCGAGCATAACAATACACATAGAGGTGTCTTGATTTGGAAAATAACAGACCTTGTGGAGGAAATGTCTCTCAGCATTAGGATGAACCTTCTTTACATCATCTGTTATTTTTGTACATCTGAACACCTCGTCGTGTATTATCACTTACAAATATTAACTACGTACCTTCATGCTCTTCAAACAATTTGATTAGATGGTCGCATTCCTCCAAAATTTTATCCTCAGCTATTCTTTTTCCCATCCCAAAGTCTCTCAGGGTGGTGAGGGCAAAACGTCTCATCTCTTGCCACGATTCTCCATTTGCAAACAGAATCCCTATAAAACATGACTTGCAAGTTAAAATTAATCTGTACCAGTTATGTATATTATACTGATAAGGGATTCACCAAAATAAAACAAACTAGAAATAAGAAGAGTTTTTTGTGATTTTGCTTTTGTTCGTTTATTATTTGACTTTGTACTTATATGTTATCATACTCTATATTAAAGATTTTATTAAGAAAAAGACATACCATGACCTTTAATCCTCTCATGTAATAAAGGGGAGACGTATCGGTCTCCAAACTTGTCTGCGTAGCTGACGAGAGCATTTTTGACTGTCTTGTATCCTGCCAGCACCACCACTTTATTGGGCCCAAAATGGACCTTGAATACTGGTCCATACTTCTTGGAGAGCTGAAACAAAGAACATGAATTGGACTGCAGAACTAAAAAAATTTAATATAATCAAATATACATATGTTAATTCCCCTTTGTCGATCCATAAGGCAAAGAACAAGATTAGAGAGAGCCAATGTAGTTCCCCATATCATTTAGTTACCTCATACAGCGTGCTGTAGGTTGACTTAAGATCCAGCTGCAGCAAATTGCCGAACAAGGGCAGTGGCCTGGGTCCCGGAGGCTCCTTTCTTCGATGGTCAACGCTGCAGAAAAATACATACAAGGCGAGCAGGATTCCAACAGTGCCCAGCAGCATGGTTGTACTGTACAGAAAAAGAGTTTCCACTGCAGCCATATTTTGAAGTGTCTCACAGATAACAAAGTCAGAGACAATATGCACGTTTTCCTTTGTGTGTGTATGTTTTATTTTGTGTGTGTGTTGGGGTGTAGTCTACAACTATCAAATCCAGGTCTTTTAGTCCAGATGAAGTAGTGAAACAAAAAGGCTGAAGGAGGGAGAAGAGCTTTTTTTTGGGCTCCTGGACTCATTTCAGTGTATGGCCTATCGGTTAATGTACAACTGTTTATATAGATTAGTTTACATAGAACACCCAGTTCAAAGGTTAACAAGGGAATGCATACAAGTAACACAAGAGTTAATATATGATGAAATTCATAGTGGACTAGAGGGAAGTTTTATTCAAGGCACTGCACTGAGTGTTGTATGATTCTGAAAATCAGAATACACCAAAGGTTTTACATAAATGTTACTTTTATTATTAATTAGCAAGACTGACATGGGTGATATTTAAAGTAACAGTGATTGGATGAAAAATGAAATGAAATCAAATATATTGGGTCATTCAGCCTAATGAGTGCCATTTGTCCTCAAAAACAACTTTATTAATATCTCTAGTTTCATTTTTACACTCTTAATGTGTATAATAACTGTTGTTATTATACACATATGTTGTGTTTAGTTTAGACTTGTGGGTGATTATGGCCTGTCTATCAGGTTTCAGAAAGCAGGCTTGGTGAAAACTCTGAGTTTCATTTAGCTGATGCTTTTATCCAAAGCGACTTACAATTGCTATACATGTCAGCACACCTCTGGAGCAACTAGGGGTTAAGTGTCTTGCTCAGGGGTGATGTCTCACAGTGGGAATCGAACCCAGGTCTCCCACACCAAAGGCAAGCATTTTATCTATGCGCCATCACCACCCCATAGTTAAACCTGAGATGAGGGAAACTCTGGGTTTTCTGTTTCAGAGAGCAAAATCAGATAAAACCTAGATCAGTAACTCATCGCGAGGAGGTTAGGTTCACAGGATAAGTTGGAAAACCGTCAGTTTCTCTCTGACTCCTCTCCTGTGGAGCCTGAGGCAGCTGTCACACTGTTTCATTTCCTCATTCATACTGTCGATATCAAAGCACATATCGGAACGCATTTAAATCTTTGAAAACTTATAGCCTATTCATTTTTTACCCAAACATGATCTTTAACATGACCACTTTTATGATCAATCTGTCATCGACGTAAGAACAGAGAGTTATCGCTACACATCGTGGATTTATCCTCAGCACAGAATAAAATCTATGTCCATCTTTAGGTATAACACTGTGACTCTGTGGACATTTGCACTTAAAACACAAGGCTACTGTGAGCTACATTACTGCAGTGGCCTCACTGTTTAAACTTAAACTGATCAATAAATAAGTTATCTTTCATATTGTAGTTGCACTAATTGGAACATTCCTATCGTAGTTATCATAGGCCTGCTGGAGATAATGCGACTATGGAGGATGACTGTGGTGCAGCTGAAACAAACAGGCAGATGCCGTAAATCCCTAACCTACTTAATTTTAAGTTCCTAAAATCAGTTTCTTGTCCATATTAACATATTAAATTAAACAGTTCTCTTTGTCTGTGTCTCTCACACACACACGCTCTGCTGTGCTGTGCTGTGCTGCTGTGTTGCGCGCGCTAGGCCGCAGCAGCCTTAAGAACCATCATGTGATGGGTTTTACTGTCGGAATGTGTAACCTAGATTATTGTATTTTCAAAGTACAGAAGTCAAAGAGAATGTTATCAGAAGCCTTTATAGTGCTGTCACTGTGAAAATCCTAAAATGTGATCTCAAACACCTGAGTGCAGCAAGGTTTTCACTGTGGGGCTGGAATGAATACAGATTTTTTGGGGCATCTTCTGTACAATCAGTTAATGAATCACAGCAACCGCATTCCTTTTCAACAGAGAGGCAAGAGATTAGGGTAAATAATACATAAAAGTGCTGTTATACCCATCAACAACACTATGTCCTGAAAACTGGTTAGCTACAGCACATACACAGTTTATAACCCGCAAGCACAAACGCAAACAGGTGTTCAGTGGCGACCTGACCCTGAAAAGATAAAATTCTCTTAAACAGGGCATGGTAGCCCATAAGATACACCAAATCTTGAAAAATCACTTGTAGGCAAACGGTATTTGTCTTGAGCAAAATCTTTGACAGTGTGCTTAGTAAAAAATTCAAAAGAATCAAATTTGGGAGCTTCCCTCACCTAGCCACCCACCTTTTCGTCTTGTCACACACAAAGATTGGGCAACAATAAACACATATTACCCAGCAATCATCACTGCATATGTAGGCTATGTGAAATGAAAACCAAAGAAAATAAGACAATATTCACTCTGTGGAATACATTTCTTTATACTTCGCTTGCTACAGACTTTCTTTGATAGAACTACTGATTGACACTATAGCAAAGGTGGATGTGCAGATTTGAGGGTCTAAATACCGCATGCTCTCACCAAGTGTGTAGATGTGTGAGGCGATATGGAATTTTAGTGTGCAATAAAAACTTAAACGTAAATTTCACACTCGTGTCACGGGCCAAACGCGGCTGCACTGTCTGCACTGTCTGCACTGCTTATACCTACGCACCTGGCTTGCCCATTTTTCCAGCATCTAACATATCCGCTATGAGGACATGTTTACTTGCTGCCTAATATATCCCGGCCACTGGCAGGTGCCATGGTAACAAGAAATTCAGTGTTTTTCACTTTACCCGTCAGTGGTCATAATGTTATGGCTGATTGGTGTAGATCATCTTTAGAAATTGCTTAAAGATATTTAGGAGTTGAACTTAAAACAATTACAATAATATAACCAGCCCCTACATATAAGAATTTCTTTGTTGTAAAAATTATTTGTGAATTTTCTGGGCTCATGGAACACAAGGCTGTATTAATCAAAATATAAAAATGTTGGAATGGGACCAACTCGGGTCGATGGCAGGGAGTTTTCCATGTGTTTGGACATGCAAGAGATGCTGTCAAGACACAGACACAACCCTAGCAGGCCACCATACCTTCAAACAACATCAACAAGGGTGAGGTTTTTGTAATGCTGACAAACAGTACAACTAATATTAATCAAACATGGTGAAGAAAGAAAGACTGACCATTTTTTTCTTGCAACAAATAGGAGTGAAAGCAATTAAAATGGGAATTAATATCTCAAACTAACATTTTCATACCATCTGAAATAATTTTTTGTGTTCAACAGAATCTTCGATTGGAAAGGCCGAGGTGAACACCCATAGAAAAAAGCCCTTGGTACACCTGCTGGACAAAGAAGTCCTCAACATGGAGGACAATGACTAAATTCTGTATTTCAAACCTGACATGATAATTAAGCCAAATTGGTCTAGACAGAGTGGTGCAATTGTGGAATGCACACAGCATCCCAGGTATGCTAAACTGAATACACTTTTAAGCAGTTATTTTTTCACACTCAAACCACATATAGCATTGCTATGTTAGTTATTTGTTTTCTTGTTTTAGGCCGTGGGAGACCCAATGAACTCGCAGCTGGTGGCTGTCCAGCTAAAATCTCTGAAGAGCTGCTGCCCAATGCCTCTGTTGTGGAAAACATGTATGAGCAAGAGTTTGGATCCTCGCTGACTTGGGTGTCAGTTTTTGGTACTGACCTATTTGGTGGTGATGGAACAGTGGATAAGACATGTGGCTTTGGTGTGGGAGACCTGGGTTCAACTTCCCACTGTGACCCACCGATGTCTCCCTGAGCAAGACGCTTAGCCCCTAGTTGCTACAGAGGCGTGCGACCTCTGACATAAAATAGCTTAAATATTTTCATCTGAGGCAGATAAATGTGAGTATAAATAAATGGCTATACTACTTTCCAAGATGTCTTGTTGTACCTCATAAATGTCACCCAAAGATACGACTGAAAAAAGTAACCGAAATGATGTGGTGTTGAGTAGCTAGTAAAACAGACTGTTATGCTACAGTGCTGATTCACAGTTTGTTAACCCTTTCGCAATTATAGTTTTTATATTAAATCTTTATTGGCCTCCACACTGTTGGAATCGACTATAGATCAGTCTGTGTGTTTTGTACTTTACTTCTTCAAACTGTAATCAGTCTGCATACAGCCTCTATAGATACCCTCTTAATTGTTACACCATTTAACTGTATGTTGGATGAGACCACCCTGGATAACCCTGCTCTTAAAATAAACCTAGGCATACAGATTGATTAAAAATTTTATGTAGCTGACACTGTGCCCCCAACTTGTCAGTTGAATAATTTGACAAGTAAGCCTTTGCTTTAAACTCTGTTGTATTGAACTTTTTATGTGAAATAATATCTTGCATACAATGACAAAGTATTGCAGAATTTCTCTGCCACTCTTCAATGCAGCTCCTGTCATGCTCAATCATGTTGGGACATGATGGTGTATCTGAGAAGAGACACAAGTGAGAGTTAAACAATTCCACCACATCGGTCTGCTCCATTTTTGGCAAATAACCCAACTGATTTCTAAGCAGGTACTCAGAATTATTGTCTCCCTGTAAGAATAGGCTCAGAAGGAACGTCAGTCTTCTGAAGGCAGACCTCCAACCGTGGCTACTGGTTTCACAGACTTACATGCAAGACTGTTGACAATGAAATGTTCCCCCCTCAGGGTCAGAATGAACAGAATGATAGGGCTTCAATAAGTTCACATGACACCACTGTACTTTCTTCCTTCTGTCTGGTGTGTAAACCAAATAGTCCCTTTCCGACATCTGGCTTTTAACTGTAAGGCCCACTAAACCTTGCGTGAAACAGTGAACATACCATTAGGTAACAAAACCAAAGCTTTATCACCAGGCTCAAACAGACGTGTATCAGTTTTTCGATGGTTTTTCCATCTTCGCCTGCTTGCAGCTAAGATTTTGTGAGCAGTGGCACAGACCATATGCAGTCGGTGGTGGAAATCATTCACATAATTAACAACATTATCAGGTGGTTCGCTTTTTAACTCATCACCCAACACTACTAGTGGACCTTGAACCATGTGTTCAAACACCATATCGTTAGGACTGAAACCTGTGCTCTCGTGATACCTCCCTTAAGGCAAGCAACAACCAAGGCAGGCCCTCCTCCCAGTCCTGACAGAGTTCAGTGAAATATGATCATAGCATAGACTTCCACGTCTGATGAAAATGGTCATGGAATCTGAGATTCAGGATGGTAGGCACTGGAAACCTAGTGCTTAACCCTCAACCGTTTAGCCACTTGAGCAAAGGTGCAAGACATGAAATTACTCCCTTGGTCCGTTTGCATCACCTATGGGACACCAAAGGTAGTCATAAATGAAGTCAAGGCTTTCAGTACTGGTTTGGTTTCAATCAAGCTGAAGATATTCAAATGGCTTCTCAACCACTGAAATCCCCCTCCTGGAAGGCAGGTTCACCATGGCATTTAAAGACTTCAACAGGTGGCCGCAATCAAACAGGAAGAAAGACTTAAAAACACAGAAGAGAGAGCAGGCCAACACCACACTGTCCTAAAAGGCCCCAGGCCGTCACAACAGCAATCTCACAAACTACCTATCTATAAGTGTCTGGGCAAAAAAAAAAAAAAATACAATGATCAAGATGTTCCAGCTCTCTTCCTCACTGGCGACTGACTGCACACAGCTCATAAGCTGGAGGGCTGAGGGTGAAGCCCACAACTGGTGTCAGATCCAGTTCATCCTCTGAGACTCCAGGTGGAGGAGTAAAACGAAAGCGCTGCAGAAGAGAGGTGAAGAAGAGGAACAGCTCCATTCTGGCCAGACTCAATCCGAGACACACCCTGCGACCTGCAAGAACAAAGAGTTGAACTGGGCATGCAACTGTGAAAAATGAGTAATCACTAAAATACAAAAGCTGGACAAAGTTGTTGTACCTGCAGAAAAGGGCATGAAGGCGTCTCTCCTGACAAATTTACCCTCCTCATCCAGGAAGTGGGAAGGGTTGAAAGTGTGCGGGGTCTCCCATTCACTCTCATCATACAGAACAGAAGTAAGCAGAGGAAACACAGTAGTCCCCTGTAGGCAAGAGAAGGGAGCAGATCTATCATATAAAGTGAATTAACATTTCCAGCAAACATACATTTTGTGAGTAAGTTCTAAAACAGATGTTACCACCTAACCTCTTTGATAAAGTAGCCCTGGAAGGTGACGTCACGGCTGATTTTGTGAGGAACAGCCATAGGGACAATGTTGGCCAGTCTTTGTGACTCATGGATGACAGCATCAGTGTACGGCAAGTTCTTCCTGTCCTCTACTCGGACCTGACGGCTTCCAACCACCCTGGTCAGCTCCTCCTGGACCTGGTCTGGATGCACGTGAAATAGGATTTCAATCTGATGAATGTGTTTCCCAAATATCATGCTAGCACTGTTAGCAGAGATGAGCATGGGGGCATGTGTTTTAGCACCTTGAATATAAGGGTACTTGGCCATGAATACCAGACACCACTGAAGTGTATTTGCTGTAGTATCAGTTCCAGCTGCAAAAAGATTTGTCACACTGTTGACCAGGTTGTCATCATGGTAGTGTGAATCCTTGATTTCAGACTCCTGGTGTAACAAATAGAAAGCAGGGATTGTATGATGCAAATAAGGTGCAATGTGTAAGAATTTAAACTTCGCTCCACCTGTCTAATTAATACTCAAAACAAAAAAAAGAGGGCAGCATATTACATATCAGGTCATAACTGCTGCTAACTGGGGTTGCGGCCCTAGCTTGCGGCTTTGGACCACTGGGTGGTAGAAGTTATCAGGCTCAGGGTGGGGGGGCAATGTTACCGAGCTCAGAAGGTTGCTCAGGCAACAGATGATTTTATGCAAACAATGGGCCCGTGGTCATCTACAATAGCCATCACAGCAGTCCACTTGCAAAGCACAGAGACTACACCAATTTGTAAAAAGCATCTCTTAGTGCAGCACACTTTTAAACCAGTGCAATTGTTTGTTGCCCTTGGTAATTTGATATTTGCACATACATCTTTTCTATTTGTTTTCTGGTAAATAGTTTGTTTTATGTGCACAGAACAAATTTTAATAACAAAAAGCACTGTCTGTACCATTGAGTTTGTTTCTTTAACATCATTCATTGGTCAATGTTCTTTTGCATCTTTCTGAATATAAGGATGATAACATCCATTCCATCAGTGTACAAATTAAAATGCTCCACAAATCACATACTTCATGTCAAAGGCAAATATTGAACTTTTTAATCCAAAACACATTTGTCTGTCAGCTTTGGTTACTTTTCAGGAAAAAAAATGTAATACACTTTCTGACAAGTGACAGCAATATAGGCTACCTCAATGTACTTGCATTAAGTATAATTCATCTGCAGTTAACATTGATGAAAATGCCAGTTTAGGGGGCATTACCTAATTTCATTGTCCTACTTGCACTAATGCAAATGTTTGTTGACCCATGTGAGTAAATTTTTCCAGAGCCAATGCCGCCTAAACTATGTTAGCACTGTGCCGTTTTGTCGCATTGAATGAAAACGTTCAATGCAATTTAGCGCACCAAAGCGTCGGCTCATTTCATTATCCAACTTGTACAAGGAAAATTGAACAAGTCAGTCTAAAACCGGAAACAGAGACCGCTCGCCTTCAGAGTAGAATGCCATCGTTTTTAAAGGTTTTCAAGGATAGCTAAACTTACACACTAACACTAAATAAGTAGCTTAGCCTTCCTGACACTCAACCACACATTATTTTTATTAAATTGTCAATCGGTACTGGAATTACAGAGTGCTGTGATTCATGTCTATGTAACGATAATGATTTAATTGATTAAGTCTACTTAATCTGTTACTTTGGGTGAACGTTAAAGGCTACGGCCTACATAGTGCTATGCCTTGTGATGAGTCTGACTTGTAAAAAGAGTTGATTTATCTCCAACTTTGACTTCATTGCACAGATCTGTTGTCATGGCAATAACACTAGGGGAGAGCAGGGCAACCTGATTTTAAAAGATAATGTTTCAGACAGAGATATATTTTTGCTGTGGTTACTAACTCACAGGTGTGGTCTATCAATATCAGGTGGTATTTTGACGGCCGCAGGAAACGATGACAAAATTATACGATATTTGGCAGCTCCATCAAGGGTTGCATGCTGAAGGTGCTGTCACAGCTTGGACTGCAAACGCAGTCAGGGCTCGGAGAAAATTGCCTCGTTACTTTCGCCCTGGTTTACCCCTAGGCCTACTACTCTGACAGAAGCGGCCAATCAGACCAAACACTGTATACCTATATTATGTTAAATAAGCATATAACTATGTTTATATTTAACATGATTTGCCTTCATTGAAACTCTGACAACTACACAGTTTACTTGTGGGAGGAGCTCAGAGTTATCTGCTTTCATTAAATTCGCTTTTTACTTTAGTTTTTTGGGATTACAACGTTGATTTAGCGTCACTCGAGCTTCTGTGCATTTCCAGTTCCACTGTGGGTTGGCACCCAGAGCTCTGTTGGACTTTTTCATATTTGCATTTTAAAAAAAACAAAAACACAAATAAACAACTTAACCCCACACACCACAAAACCACACACGGAGTAAAGAAAGCGAGGAAGTTGAACTACCTGGTGAGTTCAGAATATATAAGCCTGTAACTTTATTCCAGCTATCATTGTACTTTACTCTGAACGAGTTAGCTTAGCCCTGATCAATACAAACCCCATTCAGAAAACATTTAAAAGGTAATTGTCCTGCAGACTTGCTGACAGACCTGATAAAGCATGAAGTCATGTTTAACATATCACCATCCTATTAGTTTTTTTTTGCTTCAGTTTGATCTGTTTATTGCAATTATATCACAGTAAAATGTAAACAGCTGTGGTAATCACGTGTTGTATTTGCCTTGTGTGTGAACACTTGGCAGTTGTCCAGCTATAAAACCGGAAAGCGTTGCGAGGATTAAATTTGCGTTGTATGTGAACACACAATAACCACAACAGTTCTGGTGTCGGGTTGCTAGTTTGAATGAAGCGTGTTCATGATGAGTTAACAAGGCATTTAAGCTGGCCTTAGTTTGGTGAAAGGGAGACACTTGAATTGAAAAAGGTGTACAGTTTTATTAGCCTATAGGAGTGGATTCACTGAAGTTGGACGCCTCACCTCCAAATTTAGTTTGCGGGTCAGGAATGCATCAACAAAACATCTGCACATCTCAGGGTTCAGAGTCTCCTTCAGATCAGCTATTATGATTTTTGTGTCCTCCCTGTTCTCTTCCACATTCTTCATTAAATCCCTCCAGGTTTTAAGGAAGTGGCCCAGACAAGGAAATAGGTTGTATATCTGTAATAGAGCATAACACAATTTTATTTGAAGCCCCCATTCATTTAGGATTAATGAGATACTGATATGCAGCTTCCAAATAGACATTGCATAGGAAAATTCTTAAAAAAAAACTATTAGGATATTACAGACCTGTAAAAGTGTTTATATTTCAAGGACATTACTGTAGCAATATAATTGATCTTTTAAGCCTCAGGTTAAAAAGTCTTTATGCAGAAAGAACATTTTCTTGCAATCATTAAGTCTCTCTGTAGTACCAGTATAGGAGCTGATCCTGTCAGACGGATAGTCTCGTGGTCTTTTTCCACCATGGCTTGGAAGACCGGGTCTTTGTATTCAAACCTCTTTCCAAACATGATAGCGGACATAATATTTGAAGCCGCATAACAAATAGCCTGGGTGTTGTCGAAGGCTTTACCTAATAGAAGAGACAAAAAAAAAAAGAAGTGGGGAGGTATTTACGGGACTGCTTAAAAAAGAAAAATTTTGTGTAGTGCTTTTAAAGAGGAGATCGAGTTACCTTCATATTGTTTAAATTCTTCAGTCAGGCAGCGACATTCCTCAATGATTATCCCTTCACTAATCCTTTTGCCCATCCCAAAATCTTTTATTGTAGTTAAAGCAAAACGCCTCATTTCTTTCCACGAGTCACCATTGGAAAATAGTATGCCTGGAAACAAAAGTGGTTTGTAGAGACAAGCGCAAAAGCAAGATACTAAAACTCAAAACATTCCCTTACCGTGTCCTTTGTTGAAATCGTAGAATATGGGAGTGACTGCTCTGTCTCCAAACTCTTCAGCATGGTTGACCAGAGCCTGTTTGACTGTCCTATATCCTGCCAGGACTACCACCTTCTGAAGCCCAAGGTAGATTGTGAACACTGGCCCATATTTTTTGGACAGCTAAAAAAGAAATAAAGTACATGCGAGACTCAATCCTAGATAAGAAATGTAATTTACTTATACTTTGCATATGCAAGTAATATAACTACTAAAATACAAAATGAACTGGCTTCTATCAAAGCAATGGGACATTTCTCACATCAAAAAGAGAGTTGTCGAGTCTCTTAAGATCCACCTGAAGCAAGTTACCAAGCAGCGGAAGAGGTTTAGGTCCTGGAGGCTCTGTCTTCTTTTCTTGGGAGCTGAAGCTGGAGTAAAAAAGGTGGAGCACCAGCAGGACCACAATGGCCCCCAAAGTAGTGGACTGGAAAAGAAATTCCAACATGATCCTGCACTTATACCGGACTCCTTAGAAGGACAGACCTTTTCACTGAACAGCTGTTTTAAAAGCTAACTAAAAGGGATGTCAGGTTGTCACAACCACAACTTTCTGTTTCTTCCTGTTTTGTCGAGGGGGGGGGGGGGGGGGGGGGGGCTGAACAGAACACAGGCATTAAGAGGTGAGGCAAACAAGCGGGGCGGGAACATAAAACATGTGGATCAAATCAAGGAAAACAGAACAGGAAGCAAAGTTAGACAAGAACACCAGGCACAGAAGATTACAAAATAAAACACCAGGACAGATCTACCAAAGTAAAACACAAAATATGGAAAGACTGCAAAATCAGGACATGGACTGAGACGGACCAAACAGGACTACACTAAAACATGGAGACACAGGACTAAGGACACGAACAGGTAAAAAACATGCAGATAAACATAGAATAAACTAAGCTACAAAACCCTTAACAAGACAAGATCAAATAATGAAACACAGAAATACACAGACCAGGAATAACATTAACATGAACTAAAGCACAGAACTAAGAACTTAAGGCACTGGACTAAGAACTGAGGCAAAGAACTAAAATGCAGGACAAAGACCTAAGATAAGAGACAAGACATAAATAACTAGGGACATGGAATGAGAGAAACAGAGGCAGATAGATACACACATGAAACAATGGCAAAACCAGAAACACACAGGGAAAAATTAAAACACAAACATAACCCAAAACTAAACTCATAACATGTTTCATCTCTCTGTAGGACTGTAGAGCCACACCTTCTTTTAGAGAGGGTGCACGTCTCTCACCTCTTCAGTATGTGTGTATGACCAGATTGTCCAGCAAATTCCAAATCTAATTAAACTGTCAGTCATGATTAAGAACCCACAGCTGGAACCAGGTTAATGGGATTTGTGCAGAAGACTCATGTTGCAGTAGAGGCACTACCAGGTTCAGCCACTCCCCTTTTCACCACCCTCTCAACAGTAGAACAACAACAGAGATTTGACCTGCATGTCTTTCGGTGAAAAGAGAGGTCAAAGAAACTGGCTGAACAGGTTTTGTGGGCTACATCAGCCTAGCCTATTTAAATTCCATATTGTACTCCAAAGAGCACTTGCAAGCTCTGACACAACTCGGTTAATGAATGAATGCATTATCTTTATTGAAATTATACTCAGGTACAGTGAAATTTTGCATGGCTTTTCACTAGCAAGGACCAAACGATCAACAGGTATGATTAAATGATTTATTGACGATCGAAACAGAAGATGTACGAGGCTTGCAGTTGCCGAAGAGACACTCAAAAGCGTTGTGGGGAAGCTACGATAGGGAAATCTGCCGTAGCACCCAGGCACGACGGACCCCCTTATAACCCTATGGAGAGGAAGAAGATCAGGAGGCAGGACAGAGAAAAGGGTGGAGGGGAGGGATGCAGGATACGAGCGCGAAGGGGAGGAGTTAGGACGTGTCGGTATTTATGGAAGTGCTGGTGATGACGTGGTTGATGTGTGGTCCCGCTCCTGAAACTCTGCTAATTAGCACCACCTCATGTGCTTACAATGAAACAACTAAATGATAACAGTTACCAGAAACCAGCAGCATATATAAGCATATATAGGCAGCATATTGTAGTGAACCTACACTTTGTTAACGAGGTGGTATTATGCTCATTTTCAGGTTCAAAATCTTAATTAGGGGTTGTACCAGAACAGGTTTACATGGTAAAGGACTACTAGACAATCAGAAGCAGAGAAGGGCGGGTCGTAAGTACCAAGGTAGTGTGATCCAAATCAAAGCCGCTTCAGACTGCGACCGTAACCTAGCAGATGGTATAAGTCATTACCACATGTCCACAACCACACAACATCATTGTTCCACATCTTACCATAAATCACAACAAAAATCACCATATTTCAACACAATTTTACATAAAAATTGGCCAAACAATTTGAACGTTTGCTCAGTAGCTTTCACATCAGGTGTAACGTTTTGCATTATAGTTATAATGTTATATGTGTTAGCCAACGTTTACAACAACCCCCGCACTTGAACAGTCTGTGAAGTTACATTGCTGTGTTTATTTTAAATATAATTCACAACCAATAAAGTGTACCTACAGGTTGTGATTGTGAATTTCCAGCACCAAACAGAGTCGGAGTTGCATCGTCTTTTAGGACTAAACCTTGAACTTTTGTGTTCTGACGATCTATGCTGCCTTGCCGAAAAATGCTACCATAGCGCAATACCCCTCCTCTTTTGGGGTGTTTCAGCTTGGAGTCAGGCCGTCTGCTTGAGGGGGTGATAACTCCATTTGCCTCGGTTCTCATTGAATGTGGTGGGGTGGACTCTTTGTTCTCTTGAAGTCAATAACCAATCTACTTTGTCATCGAGGTTTTAAGGACCAGGTTGTTGTCCTTAGCCAGATGTTCCACCTCAAGCCTTGAAGTTGTTTTCAGCCAAACCTGGACAGGAGCAGGCTCTAATTGCATTATTGAGGCTGTTTATACGTGGCATTAAGCAAAGATTGTATATAAAAAGGAATTAACATGTTGAGCCACATCCTGCTGGCTACTAGAAAGAATGCCTGTTTAAGGCACTCTGCGTTGGCTTCACTTTCCTGAACTGGAGGTTCCCGCTTGGTCTCGAGAGACAACTTGTGCGCGGATCTCACTTTCCCGCTTTATATGCATATAAATAGGTACAAATAGTCAATAAGAGTAAAATACATCTTAAGGATTAAAACATTGGATCATAGACATGGGCAAAATGTTTGGTCTGTCAAAAGAAACTATTTGGTGTATAAGAAGCAAGAACCCATTAATAAAAGTGGGGATGGCAAATGAGCTGGTCAACTTTCCTGGATGTAAGCAATGGAAAAAGATCAACCTGTTCCAGAGTGAGGGAAATGTCCATCCATCCATTGTCAACCGCTTATCCTGCGTACAGGGTCACGGGGGTCTGGAGCTAATCCCAGCTCACAATCACACCTAAGGACAATTTTAGAGACACCAATTAACCTAGCCTTTGAGAACCCATTCGGACACGGGGAGACAGGAAAGGGATCTACTATCCAAATCATTTTAAAACTCTTAATATCGGCTCATAAATTAGCTCTTTTTCACTTTAATATAGGCATTGGCATCGGCCCCCAAAAACCCATATCAGTTGGGCTCTAATGACTAATTACTACAGACTATGTACAAAGAATCCACAGTGGCCGAGAAGAAGGAATATATAGGTTAATGTAGCAGTCTTGTTATACGAAAACACACATAAACCTTAATTCCCTACAAATAATTTCAATTAACGTGTTGCTAATTATAAAAAACATTTAGGCTAGTCATTTTTCCCAAGACCATTTCAGAGTAATATTTGTGCCTGGCGGAGGGAGTTATAATGCCATGCTCCAGCTCTCTTCCTCATTGGCGACTGACAGCACACAGCTCATGAGCTGACGGGTTGAGGGTGAAGCCCACTGCTGGTGTCAGATCCAGTTTGTCCTCTGTGACTCCAGGTGGAGGAGTGAAACGAAAGCGCTGCAGGAGAGAGGTGAACAAGAGGAAGAGCTCCATCTTAGCCAGACTTTCTCCGAGACACACCCTGCGACCTGCAAGAACAAACCCATTTACACAGCATTAAACTGGATCGTGTGGTGTAAAATATCTCTGTAATCCCCAAACAATAAATAAGCGGTTGCACCTGCAGAAAAGGGCATGAAGGCGTTTCTCCTGACAAATTTACCCTCCTTATCCAGGAAGTGGGAAGGGTTGAAAGTATGTGGGCTCTCCCATTCGCTCTCATCATACAGAACAGAAGTAAGTAGAGGAAACACAGTAGTCCCCTGTAGACAAAAGAAGGAAGCATGTCTATCATATAACGTCTCAGAATGAAAGAACATTTTTAGGTTTTCAGCAAAAAAAATATTTTGTGGGGAAGTAAGAGCACCTGACCTTTTTGATAAAGTAGCCCTGGAAGGTGACATCACAGCTGGTTTTGTGTGGAAGAGCCATGGGGACAATGTTAGCCAGTCTCTGTGTCTCATGGATAACAGCATCAGTGTACGGCAGGTTTTTCCGGTCATCTACCCGGACCTGACGGCTTCCTACCACCCTGCTCAGCTCCTCCTGGACCTGGTCTGAACACACAAAATAATACATTAATATTCTCAGTCAGCATAAATTTAAACAAGACTTTTGGTCCAATTTTAATGATTTTAGCACATGGAGCAGGTGCATTAGGGCAGTCTGAATCCACTTGTGCTAGTTTAACAGTGGAAGAAATAGTCAGTTCAATAGGGTTGTACTGTAAATTAGTCATGGGTGTGTTTTGGGCGTAGGCCTAACATGCAATAAACCAATCAGAGTGTCGCAAGTGCGCTTGTACCTTAGCGCATTTTTATGCATACTTGCAGCAGAGAGAGAGAGTTCATTATGGAGGTGTAGACATGATTTCCTTTGATCACAAAGCCTTATGTTTTAACATACAGAGCCCTGCATGATCAGGCACCCAGGTACATCTCAGACATGCTGCACCCGTATATTACCACTAGGCCTTTAAGATCTTCAGACCAAGGCCTACTAGTTGTACAGCGTACACGTCTAAAAACTAGAGATTTCCAAATGGTTGCACCAACAATGTGGAATACTCTTCCATCAGACCTACGCTCTGAGGTCAGTCGAAGCATTCAAAAATCAGCTGAAGACTTTTTTATTTAATCAGGGCTTTGTCTCCCTGTATACTTTTAACTGTGAATGGTGATGTTCTCTTTAAATTACAAAATGTCTTAATTTTGATTATTTATGCGCCTGTTAACATACACAAATCCATTGATAATTTTGATTGATGCCTTTATAATGTTTGATGCTTATATATGTATGACTGTCTGATAGATTATTTTTAGTTTTTTTGTAAAGCACTTTGTGACTTGTTCTGTGAAAGGTGCTATATTAAATTAATTTTACTTACTTACTTATGTTACTTACAGTTCTGTGGTTTACAGTGGGTACGGAAAGTATTCAGACCCCTTTAAATTTTTCACTCTTTGTTTCATTGCAGCCATTTTCCAAAAATCAAAAAAGTTCATTTTATTTCTCAGTAATGTACACTCAGCACCCCATCTTGACAGAAAAAAACAGAAATGTAGAAATGTTTGCAAATTTATTAAAAAAGAAAAACTGAAATATCACATGGTCATAAGTATTCACACCCTTTGCCGTGACACTCATATTTAACTCAGGTGCTGTCTATTTCTTCTGTTCATCCTTGAGATGGTTCTACACCTTCATTTGAGTCCAGCTGTGTTTGATTATACTGATTGGACTTGATTAGGAAAGCCACACACCTGTCTATATAAGACCTTACAGCTCACAATGCATGTCAGAGCAAATGAGAATCATGAGGTCAAAGGAACTGCCTGAAGAGCTCAGAGACAGAATCGTGGCAAGGCACAGATCTGGCCAAGGTTACAAAAAAATTTCTGCTGCACTTAAGGTTCCTAAGAGCACAGTGGCCTCCATAATCCTCAAATGGAAGACGTTTGGGACGACCAGAACCCTTCCTAGAGCTGGCCGTCCGGCCAAACTGAGCTATCGGGGGAGAAGAGCCTTGGTGAGAGAGGTAAAGAAGAACCCAAAGGTCACTGTGGCTGAGCTCCAGAGATGCAGTCGGGAGATGGGAGAAAGTTGTAGTAAGTCAACCATCACTGCAGCAATCCACCAGTCGGGGCTTTATGGCCCGACGGAAGCCTCTCCTCAGTGCAAGACACATGAAAGCCCGCATGGTGTTTGCTAAAAAACACCTGAAGGACTCCAAGATGGTGATAAATAAGATCCTCTGGTCTGATGAGACCAAGATAGAACTTTTTGGCCTTAATTCTAAGCGGTATGTGTGGAGAAAACCAGGCACTGCTCATCACCTGTCCAATACAGTCTCAACAGTGAAGCATGGTGGTGGCAGCATCATGCTGTGGGGGTGTTTTTCAGCTGCAGGGACAGGACGACTGGTTGCAATCGAGGGAAAGATGAATGCGGCCAAGTACAGGGATATCCTGGACGAAAACCTTTTCCAGAGTGCTCTGGACCTCAGACTGGGCCGAAGGTTTACCTTCCAACAAGACAATGACCCTAAGCACACCGCTAAAATAACGAAGGAGTGGCTTCACAACAACTCCGTGGCTGTTCTTGAATGGCCCAGCCAGAGCCCTGACTTAAACCCAATTGAGCATCTCTGGAGAGACCTGAAAATGGCTGTCCACCAACGTTTACCATCCAACCTGACAGAACTGGAGAGGATCTGCAAGGAGGAATGGCAGAGGATACCCAAATCCAGATGTGAAAAACTTGTTGCATCTTTCCCAAAACGACTCATGGCTGTATTAGATCAAAAGGGTGCTTCTACTAAATACTGAGCAAAGGGTCTGAATACTTATGACCATGTGATATTTCAGTTTTTCTTTTTTAATAAATTTGCTAAACATTCTACATTTCTGTTTTTTTTCTGTCAAGATGGGGTGCTGAGTGTACATTACTGAGAAATAAAATGAACTTTTTTGATTTTTGGAAAATGGCTGCAATGAAACAAAGAGTGAAAAATTTAAAGGGGTCTGAATACTTTCCGTACCCACTGTATATGTAGTGTATTGTATGAGTCTGTGTTAACAGTGACAGACAGACAGACCGGTGTGTTATGGTCCTCTCCTCTATGAAATGTCTGTATCCTTATTACGCTGCATTATTATAAATTATGATGAACTGGTCATGGGTCACATCTCTGTCTTCCAGGTGAGCCTCATCTCTCTTTACCTTGTATATGTGGATATTTGGCCATAAGCAGCAGACCCCATCTCAGTGTAGCTGCTGTGGTATCAGTACCAGCTGCAAACAGGTTGGTCACTGTATATATCAAGTTCTTCTCATTGAAGTTAGTGTTCATAACACAAGAATCCTAACAGAAAGAACATTCACGTATTAATATAGACACATGACACATTATTTTGTTTTTGTCACAAAAACAAGAAACATGTTTTCTTACGTCTTCTTTCTGTTTCAGAATCAGAAAACAGTCCACAAGCCCTCTGCATATGTGAGGGTTCAGCGTCCCTCTCAGATGCTTGATTAAATCTTTGACATCTCTGATGGTCATCTCAGCATTTTTCAGTATCAGCTGCCTGTTTTTGATCCAACCGACCAGCCTGGGAAACATGTTGTAAAGCTGTAAAAACAACAGAGATTGTTAAAGACAATATACACCAAACGGCAAGGCAAGGCTAGTTTATTTGTATAGCACATTTCAGCAACAAGGCAATTCAAAGTGCTCTATATAAAACATAAAAGCAACAAAGGGAAATTGAAAAAAAACCCACATTGAAACATAATTTTTAAAAGGGTGAAACAGGGTAAAACCGGATAGTGAAAGTTACAGTGCAGTGCACAACATTAATCCACAGCCTTACATTTGATCTAATTAAAGGCAAAAGTCTTCAGTCTTGATTTGAAAGAACTGACAGTTTCAGCAGACCTGCAGTTTTCTGGGAGTTTGAGATATATGGAGCATAATAACTGAACGCTGCTTCTTCATGTTTAGTTTTGACTCTGGAGACCTGGAGCAGACCTGCCCCAGACGACCTCAGAGGTCTAGATGGTTCATAATAAAGCAGAAGATCAGAAATTTATTTTGATACTAAACCATTCAGTGCTTTATAAACCGACAGCAGGATTTTGAAATCAATTATTTGACATACAGGAAGCCAATGTAAAGATCTCAAAACTGGAGTGATGTGATCCACTTTTTTGGTCTTAGTGAGGACTCGAGCAGCAGCGTTCTGAACAGCTGCAGCTGTCTGATGGATTTTTTAGGGAGCCCTGTAAAGACACCGTTACAGTAGTCAAGATGACTAAATGATGATAAATGCACCACGACTACACCAAGATTTCTGGCTTTGTTTGTGGTTCCTAACCTTACCAATTCAAGCTGAGCACAATAACTTCAGTTTTATCTGGGTGTAATTGAAGAAACAGCAACCCAAGTAAGTAGACTTCATAGATTAAAAAAGGAAATATAAAAATCTGGATTATTTTACACCCCGCAACCCTGTACGCAGGATAAGCGGTTGACAATGGGTGGATTATTTTACACATTAAATGACAAGATTCCTTCTATGTGCCACATGAGTGTTAAAGTCTTACTGCATTGATCAAATGGCATAAGCTCATAGCATACAGTAGGCTATATGTATTCATATATACGCTTTCATGTATTGTTTTGTCATTTAAAAAGCAACAATTTAAGATGATCCTACAAAGTTACTCACACAGTACATTATGTACCAAAGGCTATATGTTTTCAATGACACTCACTGATAACATTTTCTGTATTTGGGTTGATGATCTTACTTGAGCTTACTTTCCAAATTTATGTCATCAAAGTCAAAATCTTCTCTTGGATACTGGAGACTATGGAGATGAAGGCTTAGAGCATCTAATACATATGTATACATACACGTTTACCATTCTGCACAGTTTTTCATTAATAGTTCTGTCCTAAAGGAGTCCCCTTAAAATATCATCAATTTAAAGGAGAATTATTTCCCTGTTGCATTTCCAGGCCTATATTCTGTGACTCTTCTAACTTTGCGTGATTCAAAGTTTAAAAAAAACCTACTGTCTTCAGATTTTCAACGGAAACGGTGGTGCCTCGAACACCCTTTTTTGTACGCCAGTGCACTGCATTGTCTTGCCTTTTTAACACCATTGTGTTTACAAACTTATCGCAGCAAATTGGGTAACACACTGCAACACGCCCACCAAACAGAAGAAAACATACCTCGAAGCTCGTTCAATCTGAAAATGTTGCAAACCGGTGCAAAACATTTTGTGATTGAACTCGCCCCTGGTTGCTGGCGGTCAGGGCTGCCCGTTCCTTTGTGGGCGTGGCCGGCATTCTGTGCCAGGAGGAAATTACCATAAATGGAAAACAGCTTTGTATGATATCATACAGAGCCAAAGTAAAAAAACTATTGAAACCTGAGCATTTAGAACAGGGGGGAAATCTGAGGTTTTGGCTCACAGGAATTTCTTTTAAATACAATTAATTGAAGCTTTGGCCACATTTAACATGAACATCTGACACTGTAACATTATAGATATGCCAGAAAATATGGAAAAGCAATATAGGTCCCCTTTTTGGTGTATGTTTTAATGAAGCTTACCTGGATTGGTGCAGAGCCAGTAATGCGTATGTTCTCATTGGTTCTTCTCACCAAGTTTTTGAATCGGGGGTCATTGTATTCAAATCTGCTTCCATACACGATGGAGGAGATAATATTGGATGTTGTGTAATTCAACAGACATGATGTATCAAATGGTTTCCCTGTAAAATGGCAGCCAGAAAGAATAAAATTGACGGAATATAAATGCGCAATAACAAATTACACTTGTTACAAAAAAAAAAAACAGTTTATCATTTTCTTCCAAGCATAATAATATCCTTGTCACGTGTAATCACTTGCACATAATAACTCCATACCTTCATGTTCTCCAAACATTTTAATCAGATGGCCGCATTCCTCCAAGATTTTATCCTCAGCTACTCTTTTTCCCATCCCAAAGTCTCGCAGGGTGGTGAGGGCAAAACGTCTCATCACTTTCCACGATTCTCCATTTGCAAACAGAATCCCTATAAAACACGACTTGCAAGTTAAAATTAATCTGGACAAGTCATATTATTATACTCATCAGGGATTCACTAAAAATGAACCAGTGAAGCAGATCATTCAAACAGTGTTATATCAAACAAATGACAAATACATGTTATTTGTAATTTTGCTTTTATTTTTAAAACTGTTTATTTATTTTATCTTAACATACTGTATATTAAAGATTTTGTGAAGGAAAGACTTACCATGACCATGAGTCAGTTCATAAAATATAGGGGGGATGTCTCTGTCTCCAAACTCTTCTGCATAGTTGATCAGAGCCTCTTTGACTGTCTGGTATCCTGCCAGCACCACCACTTTTTTGGTTCCAAAGTACACCGTAAATACAGACCCATATCTCTTTGAAAGCTAGAAAAAATGTGGTTGAATGTGTCAGAGATAGTGTAAGGATATTTATTATAGCAAATAAAAGGACATTCAAATAAATTGCAATGTGGATTTGCTTTGGGATGAGAGTGCTAAACTCACCTCACAGAGGGTTCTGTAGGGTCTCTTGAGATCAAGCTGCAACAAGTTGCCAAGCAGGGGAAGAGGCCTAGGTCCTGGAGGCTCCTTCCCCAGTTCCTGGGAAGCAAAGTTACCGGAGACAAGATAGAGGACGAGCAGGAGAACAGCAGCCGCCAAAAGAGCGGTGGGACTAGAGACGGGTAAGAAAACTAAATCCCCCAAAAGAGACATGTCCTTTGCTGTTGACAGAGCCTTGCAGGTCAAACACAGTGCCTGTTAATGTTCAAACATGCATCATGCATGCAACAGTAGTAGGCTGTAGAGTTACTAATCTTGTCCTCGCCCTTCTGGGCTCTGTTGACGTAGAAGAAGGGCGGGTCTCCAAGGGGAGGCAGACTTGATAATGAAAGCAGAAAAACCTGTTTGGCCAGGGTTAAATCTCACATTTTGGTACACCGAAACTCTACAATAACAACAGGTTCATATAACCACAGGATATTTAATAATTTAACTGGAGATTAAAAAGCAGGTTACCTGTATTGCAGGTTAGAAATTCCTGACAGATGTCAGTGCAACAGTCTTTTAGATGTTTTCAGGATTCAATATGCCTACACCAGTAGTTTTAAAACTGTTTGGCTTGTTAATACAATCAATATCTGCTTGCAAACCTTTAACCTTCATTCTTATAAACCTCGCATGTTTATAAGAATGAATTTTCATTCTCAAGTTGTTTCATTTAAAGCCTAAATATATTAAAGATTTTAGGACTACTAGTACTTTACATGTAAACAGCTGAGTGCCTTATAATGTTGTGTGGTTTGTTCTTTTTTATTGTCGTTCTTTTTCTGTAATCATCCCGTAACACCTAAAGATTTATCCTGTGGCTTCTTCCACTGGTCTAAACTGCAGTGTATTTAGAGTAAACCCATCTGGGAACTGCAACCAGGCTTGCGCATATATCATCAAACTGGTTTATAAACAACAACTAACCTATACTCCCGCCATCCCATGACTCCCCTTTACATAAAGTTGCTGTATTAAACCAATGGAAAACTGACTCTGAATAGTTGAAACACACATAGACCAGGCTTTCCCCTTGTTCTGCATGTTTTAGATCTCTCCCCGCTTTAACACAGCTGAGTCAAATGGTCAACTAGTTATGAACTCTACTGAGAAGCTCCTTGATAACAAGCTGAAGATTTAAATCAGTTGTGTTGGAGCAGGTACAAATCTCAGAAATACATGAGAAGGAGTCCTCTAGGTAAAGTTTGGGATACACTGACCGGAGTCTACCGGAGCACATAGAAATAACATGGAGAGTGGCTGTGTTATGAGTTGATCATCTAAGTCTTATTACTCATTTATTACTCCTTTAAAAAGTAACTAGTACTACTAGTTCGGTTTCTCTGCACATGTATCTATAAGAGCAGTATTGAGTATTTTTACAAAACATACAACATTGTTTAACTTCACTCTCTCCCGATGAATCCAAGTATCACTGGCAGTAATGGTGTCACACTCTGCCTGTCAGCCATGCCATGTTTTGCACTCTTGAGTTTGGTCAGTTTATTATCTGTTATTTTGGTCTATTGGGTATTGGGGTTCTGTCTTGTCTATCGTCTAGTGTTCAGTAACCTGTGTCATGCATATGCTTGGTCTCATGTTGTCGTGTTTATCATGCCGTGCTTATCTTGTCACCCTGTTTCTTTGTATTTCTGTTTGGATCACCTTGTTTTTGGACTCTGTTAATCAGCTACTCTGCCATTAAGTGTGCTGGCCTTTTTGGTTGGTTTAATAAATCTCTTGAACTGAACCTGCCAGCTGTGTGTCCCGCATTTGGGTCCTCCAACCTGCCTCACCACACAAACCCTGACAAATGGCCATAATTTCTTTGTACAAGTTTCACATTGGCTTCAATAAATTAGATGTAGAATTGTTCGTGGTTGAAAGCTTTTTGCTGGTTGCACAAAGTGTACAAGACAGCAATTCTTTGCAACTTAGACTGTGACACAATAATGGTAATACTTCCAGCTGTGGAAAGACTCGTTCTCCATTCTTCCTTTAACTTCTTGGCTAACAGCTGACTTGAATAACATAAGGTCCAGTGCAGTGACATGCCGCGCATTCACATCAAGGATGGTGTGTTAAAACAAATAATTATAATGATTTATTGAGGAAATATATTTATTTATAGAAAAGGAAACACAAAATTCAGGTGACAATATAAAAATATAGTGTAATATAATGCAGTAAGGCATTCTGTATACTGTCAGTTATGTTTCTCCTGTAGAACTTTTCTCATTTTTTTCAGTCAGCACACATGTAGATATGAATGAAGTAACCTCTTTAAATGTGCACCTTTTCACCTCAATAATAAATAAATAAATTTTAATTCAGTTAGAAACTGTGGTGTCCGAACAATAATGCTGCGATGATGTGTTGAGAAGAAATCCGCTTGACACTGTTCTTGATCATAAAAGTTTATTACATCAAGGAATTCAGCATCAATTACAAGCTCTGCAGCAGCTTGGAGAGTGACCCAGCCCGATGACCACTCTGTCTCTCTGTACATCGAACACAGCTTATATAGGACATGTTTAGGTATCTGCTAAATACCATATAAGGGCACAGTGCTGTAGGATAAGTGTAAACATCTGTTAGACACCATAGAAGGGTTCAGTCCCTTCATACACACTAATCTCTACTCCCCCTATCACTGGCTCAGAGGTCAAATTCCATAGGAGGGTTCACTCTTTACACACCCATCAATCATTACTCCCCCTTAAGAGTTCACTGAGCCTCTCTCCAGCTGCTAGAGTGTTATTTTAAACTGTAATGGTCAAATGCACATATGTTATACACCACAAAACTCCTGGACTTTAATATCTCCTGTGTTTCAGCGGGTTTTCTGCTCATGTTCAAAACTTTCTGCACATTCTCTCCCACATATCTGTGTTCTCTGTTTTTTTGAGATATATTACCTGAATAAAATGGCAATCTAACGAGAATGAAGTCCTAATATTTTAACAAAATCTGTGTGCCTCTCTGCTGTGCATTAGTTCTGCTGATAATATAGTAGGTTATCCCCTTTAGACTGCCTGACAACACAGAACCTGTCAGGTACTGTACTCAATGAGGCGAGCGCACAGCTCTTCAGCAGAGGTGGAAGACCAAAACTGAAAGCATTCATTCATTTACTGTTTATATGACAGGGACAGCGCACAGTTAAAATAATTGCATCAGAGTTAGCTAGCAGCTAATTTTCTTCTGGTGTCCCTGGGCAGATAGACAAAACAAAACAAAAGACATAAAAACACAAAGCACTAAACAACTACTAAACAACAAATACACTACATAAAATAACACAAGAAATTATCAAAATTGAGAAAAATTTTTCAGGCAGTTGCATACCAGGGGCCTGAGGTACTGCAGAACCAGTCTCTCAAAAGTCTTCATTACATGTGACGTTAGTACCACAGGCCTGAAGTTGGAGAGGTCGCTGGAAAGTCCCTTTTTGGGGACAGGGACGATGCAGGAAGTCTTCCAGATCTTCTGCACCTTTCTCAACCTCAGCGAAAGTTAAAAAGATGCCGGAACACTCCCGCCAACTGCTCAGCAAACACCTTGAGGACCCTCGGGTGGATGTCATTCGGTCTTCTGGCTTTGTTGATCCAGGTTCTGGTGAGCTGCTGTCTCACCTGGCTGGTTGTGATGACTGGGGTGGAGGGGAGGGGGGAGTGGAGTGGCAGGGGAGTGGAGGGAGGGGGGTAGGTGGTGGAGGGGTGTGGAGGGAGGAGACCAAGATTAAGGGGAGGGGGGTCAAGCCAGCGTTGTTGTGTTAAACCTGTTGAAAAACTGGTTTAACTCGTTGGCTCAGTCCTTTGTCCCTTCTGCTGACCCCTGACATGAAAGCAATCTTTTTTTTCTTCAACAGAGATTTGATGTCTCTGTTGTTCCAGGGCTTGTTGTTGGGGAAGCAGCATATCCTTTTGGTGGGGATGATACTGTCCTCACAGAACCTGATGTAATCAGTGACACATTGGGCTAGACCCTCAATGTCGTCACTGTGATCCTGTTGGAACATTTCCCAGTCCGTTGTCCTGTAGCACTCCATCAGGGCCTCTTCGTGAACTTTGTAGTGAACAACGGTGTGTATTTGTGTATTTTATATTGAATAAATTTGGAGCTACTCTAAATTCCTTTCTCCTCCCCAGAGAAGAAGGGGAGGGGTCAAAGTTGCTTTCTCTAAGTGCTATCCCGACCATAAAACTGGCACCTTTTTGATTCCGAAGCTGATAACGCGGGGCCTGACTGTTAAACTGACAAAGGGACATGAACCAGCCATTGGCATTTCCCTGAACAGCCTATCAAAACTGTTATAAATTCATTATAATACGCGCAAATAGATTTCTTTTCTTTAGACATTAAGTTTAGAAAGGCAGTCCCTTGGGAAACCTGAGACGCCCCCTGGGGAACCACGCCCCAGGCAACAAAAGAGCGACACGCGACCTCGCTTCGCTCTCTTCTCTTCGCTCCTTGCTCTGTCCGCTGCTCTGCTCGGCTCCCTGGACACTTCAGCACGCGCGTGGCGTGCCTCGCCAGGCAACGCCCTAAGACTCGGCCAGCGAGACCCGGCCTTTTGTTCGCCTGAAGCTACACACCTGAAGTGCCGCGACATCGATCTGCCTTCAGTTTGTTTTATTTTCTTTATTTCCTTTTGTTTGTTAAAGTTATCAGTCCGTTAAGTTACACTGGACTAATTCAGGAACGACCAAGTTCCATTTTAAGCCTTTTTTCGTCGAGCCAACTTCACCAAGGTCAGACCAAGCCACGTGGTCTCGCCAGCTACAACGAAGGAAACCTGAAAACAGCTGAATTGCCAGACGGAGGAGGCATTTTCAATCAGACACGGAGAACCCCGGAGAATCCCTAGCAAAAAGCCAGGATCGGGCAGCTAGCGTGGGACCCGTGCAACAGGCCAAAAGCAGGCTGTTGACAAGCAGTAAGACACGTTCTGTGATCAGATGTCCATTTTAACTCCTAAAATCATTGCATTAGTTTACTTTCATTAGCTCTTCTATGCCGTATGAGTCAAATGCTTCCCACAATCGAACCTCCAGGCTCATTGTTCAGCAAATGTTTATGTTCCCTGTATCCAACCATCTTCTTATCACAGTAGTTAGAGAATAAATTCACTGTAATATAATCAAGAGCTGTGTGTGTTGCCTATTTCTACGTCCCTGCCGAGAGAATTGACCCTTTAGATATGAGACTGACTGACTGATTTAAGATAATTGAGCGATTATTAACTGACTGATCACTAGTAATAATTGTATAATTATTAAAACTACCTAGAGGTCCGGATACTCTAGGATTATAACAACTCCGGTGGTGCCCTGAAATGAGGAATCTGGTTTGATTTTATGAATAATAAAATTCATAACTGGGTATCAATTCTCATAAAGTTATTAAATTGCATAACTAAATTTAGGTTTGCTACAACTTCAAACTAAAAGTAGCCTCTGCTCTTTGAAGTCATGGGAGACAGGCTGAGTCATAAAGATTATTGCATATTAATAGGGAAAATATTTTGATGTTGAGTTACATTCGGGGCTACAGTCAAAACATTAAAGCCCCAGAAAAATGACCTGGCGATGCCGTTGCCCAATACTGCCTTAATTATCATAAAAAACAGCCCCATCACTTCATCTCTACTGAAAACATTCATGACTTGCTAACCCTCACGCTTTTCACTGCGCTCACCCATGCAGCATGTTTAATGTTACAGACGTGATTGTAAATTATATCTGAAACAGTTCATATTCTCTTAACATTGCCTACAGCAGCTAATGCTGCCCATAGCTAAATTAGCCACAAAGCTAATGCCGTGTTTATCAGTGGCAGAGCGCTCCATCTGAGCAGTTTTTAACTTATTCTAAATACATGTACATGAGGCGCTTGTCTGTAGTTACAGTTGACTGAAATCATTAAAACTACAGCGAACATGTAAATAAACTTGAGTTGAACAAGAATATAACACCACTTTCTGCCAATACAATGTATCTACCTCCTCTTTCAAATGTGAAACATTGTTATAGTTAAATGAAATATGAAAGTTGCAAGTACTCTTTGTAGACAGTCATGTAGTATGAGAATCATTCAACAGCAGGTCACTGTTTCATAGACAGCTTGTTTTAGAGCCAGCTAGTGGTTGAGAAATGGTTTCTAGTAGCTTTCGGTTAGAATTAGAGTGTTGGTAAAGGGATAAACTAAATGTGAATATGCTACATTAAAAGTAATTATAGCAGGTAAAATACACATGCTTATTCTCTCTCATTCTCTGTTCACAGATGGCTGAAAAAGTTGGACGTTCTAGCAGCAAATATTTATTGATGTGCAATTGTTGACATGTTAAGTGAGTCTGTAATCTATTTTATTAACATAATCCATTTAGGAACATGTATTGTAGCCCACATACAGAACAGCTTTCAATATCGGCCTGTTCTATGTGTAGTTTATACAGGAAAGGGATCTACTATCCAAATCATTTTAAAAATCTTAATATCGGCTCATAAATTAGCTCTTTTTCACTTTAATATAGGCATTGGCATCGGCCCCCAAAAACCCATATCAGTTGGGCTCTAATGACTAATTACTACAGACTATGTACAAAGAATCCACAGTGGCCGAGAAGAAGGAATATATAGGTTAATGTAGCAGTCTTGTTATATGAAAATACACATAAACCTTAATTCCCTACAAATAATTTCAATTAACGTGTTGCTAATTATAAAAAACATTTTTCCCCCAAGACCATTTCAGAGTAATATTTGTGCCTGGCGGAGGGAGTTATAATGCCATGCTCCAGCTCTCTTCCTCATTGGCGACTGACAGCACACAGCTCATGAGCTGACGGGTTGAGGGTGAAGCCCACTGCTGGTGTCAGATCCAGTTTGTCCTCTGTGACTCCAGGTGGAGGAGTGAAACGAAAGCGCTGCAGGAGAGAGGTGAACAAGAGGAAGAGCTCCATCTTAGCCAGACTTTCTCCGAGACACACCCTGTGACCTGCAAGAACAAACCCATTTACACAGCATTAAACTGGATCGTGTGGTGTAAAATATCTCTGTAATCCCCAAACAATAAATAAGCGGTTGCACCTGCAGAAAAGGGCATGAAGGCGTTTCTCCTGACAAATTTACCCTCCTTATCCAGGAAGTGGGAAGGGTTGAAAGTATGTGGGCTCTCCCATTCGCTCTCATCATACAGAACAGAAGTAAGTAGAGGAAACACAGTAGTCCCCTGTAGACAAAAGAAGGAAGCATGTCTATCATATAATGTCTCAGAATGAAAGAACATTTTTAGGTTTTCAGCAAAAAAATATTTTGTGGGGATGTAAGATGCGAGCACTTGACCTTTTTGATAAAGTAGCCCTGGAAGGTGACATCACAGCTGGTTTTATGTGGAAGAGCCACAGGAACAATGTTAGCCAGTCTCTGTGTCTCATGGATAACAGCATCAGTGTACGGCAGGTTTTTCCGGTCATCTACCCGGACCTGACGGCTTCCTACCACCCTGCCCAGCTCCTCCTGGACCTGGTCTGAACGCACAAAATACTACATTAATATTCTCAGACAGCCCTATTTTACTGGTTTTAGCACATGGAGCAGGTGCATTAGGGCAGTCCGAATCCACTTTTGCTAGTTTAACAGCAGAACAAATGGTCAGTTGAAAAGGGTTGTACTGTTATTAGTAATTAGTCATGGGTGTGTTTTGGGTGTAGGCCAAAGTGTAATCACCCATGCCCTTTAAAAGCCAGGTGTGCTTGTACTTTGGTGCATTTGTTTAAATGGTGCATGAATGAAAAAGTGTGATGCAGAGTTGCAGCAGAGAGAGAGAGTTCATGCGAGTAAGTGAGTGTCAGTATGGAGGTGTAGAAATTATTTCCTTTGATCACAAAGCCTTATGTTACTTACAGTCAGTGGTGACTGACTGTAAGTAATTTAAAATCATTCTTCTTACCTACAAAGCTCTTAATGGTCAGGCACCATCTTATCTTAAAGAGCTCATAGTGCCTTACTACCCCACCAGAGCACTGTGCTCCCAGAATGCAGGGTTACTTGTGGTTCCTAGAGTCTCCAAAAGTAGACTGGGAGCCAGAGCGTTCAGCTATCAAGCTCCTCTCCTGTGGAACCAGGTTCCAGTTTGGGTTCAGGAGGCAGACACCATCTCCACATTTAAGAGTAGGCTTAAGACTTTCCTCTTTGATAAAGCTTATAGTTAGGGCTGGCTCAGGTGAGTCCTGAACCATCCCTCAGTTATGCTGCTATAGGCCTAGACTGCCGGGGCCATTTCCTATGATGCACTGGGCTCCTCTCTCCTTTACCTTCTCTTCCTCTGTATGCAACCTCATCCCATTATTGCATGTTACTAACACAACTTCTCCCCTTTCTGGTAGTCTTGTGCTTTCTCGTCCCTCTCCTCTCTCCTCCTATCACTTCCTGCAGGTTTTTCTGGCTCTGGAGCTGTGGAGTCTGGATCTGTGGCTGCAAGTCACCTGCTGCCCCTGTGTTCCTGCTCGACACCCTCTGCTACAACAACTATTGTTACTAGTCCTATTATTATTATTGTTATTATAATAATTAACACTACGACTGTTACCATTAACACTACTATAAATATCTGTACCATTTTTTTCATTTAGTCTATAGCAACATCACCTTTGCTGTCTGTACCTCTGTGTGTGTATATTGTGTAGGCTGCCACCCTCTCTCTCTCCTTCCATCCCTCTCTTTTTCTCTCTGTTCCTCTCCTGCCCTCTCTCTCTTTCTCTCTCTCTCTCTCTCTCCCTCTCTCTCCTTCACCCCAACCGGTCGAGGCAGATGGCCGCCCACCCTGAGCCATGGTTCTGCTCGAGGTTTCTGCCTCTTAAAAGGAAGTTTTTCCTTGCCTCTCTCGCCTAGTGCTTGCTCTTGGTGGGAACTGTTGGGCTTCTGTAAATAGCATCATAGAGTACGGTATAGACCTGCTCTTTTATGAAAAGCGCTGTGAGATAACTGTTGTTGTGATTTGGCGCTATATAAATAAAATTGAATTGAAAAATTGAATTGTTCAGCCTTCCTCCAACGGGAGGACCTCAGAGTATAAATACTCAGTGCTCTGACAGGGCAGAGCAGATGAAGTCTCCCGTCCTCCGCCGTCACATGAGGTGGAGGATGAAATGCCTGCAGCACTGTGGACCCTGCCGCACAAGAAGGCACTTTAGGGATGTATCCTGGACGAGGGTGCGGGATAGCCCTAATATTCCCCGGGGCAAACTCCAGGCTTGCGGGGAAACCGAAAGCGCTTGGAGATCCCCCACCCTCTTCAGAGAGGTGGTAGCAAGGAGAAAGGCCATCTTGAGGGTCAAGTGCTTAGCCTCAGCTGACTCCAGGGGTTCGAAGGGGGCCTCAGCCAACGCCCCAAGAACCACCGCCAGATCCCGAGTGGGAACCTTGGACCGAGTCGCAGGTCCGTGTGGACGGGGCCCTGGAGCTGAGGAGGGTCTCGACTGCTCCGGCTGTTAGACCCACCTCTAGGTACTGTGCCCCCTCAGGGGCCAGACCCACAGTCGCCATACGGCGGGGCAAGGGTAAAGAACCCGGCCCTGCGCCTGGGACAGCAGGTCTCTCCTCAGAGGGACCTGCCACGGCGGGCCGTCCAGGAGCGACATGATGTCCAAGAACCACACCCGGTATGGCCAGAACAGGGTTACGAGCAGTAGGCCTGGCGGACCTGCTCCAGAACCCCCAGGAGCAGAGCGACTGGGGGAAAAGCGTACAGACGTAGCCTCGGCCACAAATGTACCATGGCGTCCAGACCCAACAAGGCTGGAGGAACGAGAGAAAACCATAGCAGGCGGTGCGTAGTCTCTTGAGACGCAAACAGATCCACATCTATGGGGCCGAACTCTCCGCACAAGAGCTCCACCACTTCGGGGTGAAGTCTCCATTCCCCGGGCCTCAGCCCCTGCCTCGACAGCAGGTCTGCTCCCTGATTCTGCGTCCCCGGGAGATACATCGCCCTGAGCGATAGTAACCTCTGCTGGGACCACAGGAGGATCTGACGCGCCAGTCTGTACAGAGGGCGCGAGCGCAGACCGTCCTGGTGGTTCACATAGGCCCCCACTGCTGTGTTGTCGGAACGAACCAGGACGTGATGGCCTTGGAGATTGGGCAGGAAAGTCCTTAGAGCCTGTAACACCGCCAACATCTTGAGACAGTTGATATGCCACTCGGACTGATGCACCTGCCAGGATCCCCTTGCAAAGCGGCCGCCCATGACCGCGCCCCAGCCCGTGAGGGAGGCGTCTGTCGAAATGACCAGCCGGCGACAAGACCCTCCCAGCACGGGCGCCTGGGACAGGAACCAAGTTTCCTTCCAAACTGATAGGGAACGAAGACACTTGGGCATAACCCAAATCAGACGGAAAGGATTTCCCCTCGGGGAAAAACCCTTGGTCCTTAGCCAACACTGCAGGGGTCTCATGTGCAGCAGTCCAGATGGTATTACGCTGGACGCAGCCGCCAGGAGAGCCAACATTCGTTGAAAGTGTTTTATAGTGATGGCGTGGCCTAACTTCACCCCTTTCACCTCAGCCAATATGGTGTCGACACGTGCCAGAGACAATTGTGTCCGCATCGTTGTCGAATCCCATACTACCCCTAGGAAGGTGGGCGCCAGCACACTCTTCTTTGCGTTGAGCCTCAGCCCTAAACGCAGCAGATGAGCCAGAACGACATCTCAATGCCAAACCGCCAACTCTGAGACTGGGCTAGGATGAGTCAGTCGTCGATGTAGTTGAAAATCCGGATGCCCTGGAGCCTCAGCGTTGCATCCATACACTTGGTGAATGTGCGAGGGGAAAGTGCCAGGCCGAATGGAAGAACCCAATACTGGTAAGCCACACCCCCGAAGGCGAACCTCAGGAACTTCCTGGCTGACATGGCTTGGAGGGTAACGCCGGCTTCTCCAGGGAGGATGCAAGTCGAGGGGAGAGATAGCTCGCAAGCGCATCCTCCACCGGAGGCATCCTCCCATAACCACTAACCCCCATCACATTACTGTAGTTCAGTGATCGGGGTGTGGAAAGCCGTGTAGAGAAGGGTCTGCCCCATGATTTACTCAGTTCATCATGTAAATCAGGAAAGAATAGCAGAGACCGGCGTGGAGGTGGCGTGTGGTGCTTAAGAAACCTTTCATCAAGCTACCACTAGCCTGTGGTGTCTGCTCCTCCTGTTGCCAGTTGATGTTGAGCTTAGCCACGGCTATAGTCACCACCTCCAGCAGCTCGTCATAGTCGGGCGCCGCCTGATGACGCCGCCTGACACCCGGAAGTCATCGTCCACTACACTGAGCAAGTCCGCCTCCTCGGAGTCGGATTGCTGCAGCATCTCCAGATCCAAACCGCGAGCGGGAGAAGCCGAGAAACAGGCTCCCGAACGAGGAAAGGAAGCGACGGAACCAGCGGATGAAGGTCAGGAAAAGCCTCAGCCATCCCGAAATCCTCCGACAGATCACGCTGTGAACCCCATGAGTGAAGCCACCGGGCCCCCTCAGCGGCCCGCGCCACGGGGAGAACACATCCGGCCATCCTCGGAAAAGAGAGCCATGCTGTACCTCAGTACCCGCAAGGATAGGGCTTTGCAACGGGTGCAGGCAGCCCCCTCGAGAGCTGCCCGGGCGTGCTCCATCCCCAAACATGAGACACACATCTCATGAGAATCTCCATCCGTGATGTACCGAGGGCAAGGAAAAACACACCTTCTGTACATCTGGTTGCCGGACATGCTGGTAGACTTCTTCTTCAGGTAAGACACACTGCTTGTAGGACTGGAGCTTTCTTCAAACAACATACAGAGCGCCTGCTGAATAGAAAAAAGCTAATGATGAGTGTGTACAGGTGTGCTTTATACTCCTCCGGTTATTCCGTCACACCTTACCATTCTAGCAACAAACCAATAGGATTGGAGTGATTTCATTCACGTTCAGACCTGCTACGCCTAGAGGCGTTCCCATAGTGTCGTAACCGACACAGTTCGAGTTCCCTCGAAGGGGAACCATATGGTAAAGTTCTCAGATCAGAAAATACCTACCGTTTGGTGTATACCACTTGGAGTCTTTTGGCAAGTGTTTTGTTTTTTATTTTGAAGGACTTTTTATTTCTCCCTTTAGTGTCTGATTTTGTCATCACGTGTTGTGGAATCTCGTCAGAATTCACAAACTCATGTACAAGATCGATCAGTGTGTCTGGACTGACAACAGATGGACTGTGAGAAGATAATGTTATGCCTTTGCATTTTAGCTCTGCTTTGTTTTCCAATCTGTCTTGATAGGAAAAACTCAAGTAAAGCACATATGCTTAAGCAGTATTGATAAACCTAAGCTTTTTATTTTACATCTGTTGATGCAGTGTTTTGTAGGAAGACTGTATATCATATGGTAATGAAACACAGTTTTAAAAGTTAGACCATCTGCATTCAGGAATCTCTCCTTTTATACTATGGTTTTACCAACACATTCTGCAGACCTTTTTTGTAAGTCTTCTTAAACTAAGCCAAGATCATCTAACTTTCATACATTTTTCACTTTCCTAAGCCATCATCTTTGGAAGTTCATTAACACTAAGATCAACACTTACTTTCTTCACTGACACCCATTCCTATGCCACCACAAGCATACTACTTGGAATCTTTTGGCAATTGTTTTGTTTTTTGGTTAGAAAGCCCTTTTGTCTTACGTGAGATATCGAGGGTGCATGGGGGAGGGCGACCCAGGAAATGGCTGGGAAAGGGGCCCCCTCACACAGGCTGTGAATGTTATAACAATAACTTGTTAACATGACCACCCATGTGAAATGCATACCGTTTGCATTAGTGATGTGCGGATCGATCCTAAAGTATCAATATTTCTGATACCAACGTTTCCTGCTCTAGGATCAATACTCATATAAAAGGATCAATATCTAAAATCCGTAATTTGGAGTGAGTGTGTGTTTTATCATAAGTATTGTTGGACTGTGACTTTAAATTACCCTTTAAAACTATGTGTAGTCCTTGGTCCTGCGTGTTCTTTAATGAAGCAATAGGAGAAGATGTTTTTAGTCCAAGTTAATCAGTTTTATTACAAGTAAATGAATAAAGCTTACAGAGCTCTGGGTCGATCTTCTTTTCTCTGACAAACAACAAGCTGTATCAGTTCACGAAGTCTGACTGGCTATCTCTCCCTGACCCAGTGTTTTAGTATACATCGTCACCTCATAAAACAATAAAACAAAAGTGTAGGTCAGTCCATGATTGACCCAAGTCCTCTGACCCCAATGTTTGTCCTCTGACTCCACAAATCACCATGCTGTTGCTGGGCAGATTACGAGCGTAGTTCCTGAAATGAGATATCTTGGAGAAGAGTTGTTTTGTACCACATTCCAACCACCCCTCACCCATTGTTCAAGTCTCCTTATCTGATCATGCAGAGACCCCCTGCTTCTGCACCTCTCCAAAAAACACACACATCAGGTCTAGTTTAATAAATGATAAACCAACATATGAACTTCTAACAATAAAATACATCAGAGATCAATATAAGAAAACACAATACTAATGGTTACCCTGAGTAATACAAAAATCATACTATCATAATCTCTCAGTATCTGTCACTAGGATGGTCTAATCATACTTGGTTGATAGGAACTACTTTTACTCTTCTGCCTGTCAAAGTCATGCTTGTGCTACGGCTCTGTGACGGAGCTTCTTTGAAGTGAGCCGCTGCAGCCCTTTACAGTTACCGCGATTGAATACTGACTCTGGCCGACTTTAAAAACAGTCACGTCTGGCTGTATTTTAGCTGTGAAGGTAATAATGTTGCTCTGTGTGATGTGTGTGCAAAGACAGTGAAATATTTTGGCAACACTGCAAACTTTGCTAAACATCTGAGATTAAGTCAAAATAATATGATGATGTTATGAAGCGGCAGTTCTGAGTAGGATATTTTTATTATAATTAAAGAATATGACAGTAGTTTGATGTCTTGTCATTATGCAGCTATTATTTTGAATTGGTAAGGCTACAGCCTACTCCTTATTTCTTTCATAAATACAGAAACAGGAGGGGGGAGGTCACATTAAACTAGAAATAACACAATACCAGCCTGGGTATTACTTTGGTATTGGATAGGAATTAAGTGGTGTCACACAACACTAGTTTGCATGTAGCTTTGTGAGTATCCTGTGCAGCTGTAGTTTCAGCTGGTTTCAATAGTAAACTATCACAAGAATGACAATAACCAACCAAAAACATTATATTCTAAGCAGATACATTTAAAATAGCATAAATCACAAAGTAACTTTTGTATTTCAAACAAATAGGAGACAAAAAGGAGACTTATTAGCATTTTGTTTTTAACTCCCTTCACTGCAATGCATCATGGGAATGCTGAGGGTTGGCCTTTAAGGTCAATGTCCACTGGAAGCCGAAGTGTTTTAGCAGCGGAACATCAGTTTGCTTTTACATCTGTATGGCAGTAGGGGGTGGTAAAGACCTCTGGGATGCAGAATTGGTCATGTTGTCAGATCAGAATACTTTTCAAGCGGTTCAATTTCCTGAAAAATTACTTTGGGATGACCAGGTGGATAGCATTTATGATACACCGATACTATTAGAATTTAAATAGTCAGACTTTGTTCATTCCCTTAGACCCTCAGATTACATGCAGGATGTGTTGTTGACACCTACATTGTAATATTTCCAGTTACTGTATTGTTGTCTTCTGTGTTACTTTCTTAGACTGATCATATGTTTTGCGTGTAAGATCTTAATTATTAGCTAGTAACAAAAGATGTCAGATGTGATACAGTAAAAAACAGATGTTCAAGTAGTTTGATAATAAAAAAACTCAAGTAAAGTACTGTGCTTTAGCACAGTATCGATAATCCCTACACCTTTCTTTAACTGCTGTTTATGCAGTGTTTTGTAGGAAGTCTATTCATTATGATAACCATCAAATAGGTAAAATACGTAGGCTATAGGATTCCTTGTCTTTCTAGGGCTGTCACGGTGTAGTAATTTCCACCGCAGCAATATGTTGGGGCTCAACAGCGCGGTATGCGGTATTATCGCATTTTTCATCAATTAAGTAATTTGGTACCATATAGAAGAGTAAGAGTGTCTGTATCTGTCACCTCACTGCACAGCGAGCCGCTAACAGCAGCTTATGGT